TAATATAGTATAGCGCTTAATACAGGTTCACTTAGGCCAAATTTAGGTCTAATGAGCATTCCACAATGGGGATGCCAAGAAAGGCAAGATTGAATACAAGGGCCAAAGCTTCAAGTAGAGGTGTGTGACCGACAATGAGTATCCAGGTCCTTATCCAGGTAGGGGACTACCAAAGCTGTGCCTGGTCGTCCTTGTAAGTCAAGGAGTTCCTCTGGAGAAACAAGGGGCAACTGGAGGAGACACCAGTGGCAAGAGATAAGCCTGCAGTCCTAAAGGAGTGCTCTCGAACAGGGGTTAGTTGACCTTAGACTTTAAACCCTATGGGCTGCATTTGAGTCAGCATCTACTGCAGAAGTAAATGAGGGAAAAGGGTGGGATTCATCCAACCACTCCTTTAACCTCCTAAATTGGGGCAGCTCTGACCTCCTGTGGCAGCATAATCATGGTGTCCAGTGCACAGTCAAAGAGATGACATGCTTCAAAGGCAAAGCAAGTGAGAAGCTCTTTGATTAAGACATCAGCACCCCAGCAGTGTAACCAGAGTGCTCTGCGCATCAGACCCATGCAGGACTTAGACCGAGATGCCTGTAACTAGCCATCACAGCTGCAGCATAGGGCTCCAGCCATTTGTTCCACACACTCATTTAAGAAGGGGTCTACCTCTGTGTTGGAGAGATCCTTTTTCAGGGGATCTAACCCATTCTGCCACAGTTCAACAGACCAATGCAATTGCCAAAATAAGGCAGAGGGCAGAACCAGCCAATTCAAACTGGTCAAAAGTCAGTAGAACCATTAAAAAGGTAAGCACCTGTATTAGCTTCCCCGTTAAAAGAAATATGGGGTAAGTGTTTTTCCCCATAGTTGTGTTAAGGGTCAGTATATGCTGTCGAGATCCACCCAGCTGCGTGAATGACAGCTGGCTCTGCCTATCTAGAGGCAGAGCCAGCTGTGCCCGCCCCCTTTTCATGGCCTTGAGGTTAATATTTAGGTGATGGCAGCAAACTGCAATGAACTGTAGGCACTCTGAATATGAGTAAGAAAAGGACACAGCGACCAGTGGCCTGGCCTGTTTCAAGGCCATGAAAAGATCAGATTCTGCAGGGGAAGGCACTGGTGCATGCTTAGGGCATCTGCCATGTTGAGTTGGGTGCATCTAGCCAAGATGTTCAGAGTGTCCGTGGAAGTCCCAGAGGACAGAACAGAAGACTCTGTCTCAACTGATGGAGCCAAAGGGCACTCCAATGACACCCTATAACTATAGGTTTACCAGATTCTAGATTGCAGGAATTGGGTTCCCTCAGGAGATACCAAGTTGATGCCTCCAGAACCACTGAGGGAGTATGGGCTCCAGTCACCCGTAGCAGCTGCACTGTCCAATTTGCATTTATGTGCAGACATATCCAAGTAGCGGTACGGCAACTAGGCCCAAAGTGCAAGGCAAGGCCTTAGGTGCTCACAAACCCAGTCAACCGGAGGGGGTCAGGAGGCCAGAGAGATGAGCAGTGGATCAAACCGTAATTCCACATTGATCTTGTACAGCAGAAGCAGCAGCGGGATGGCGCTCCTCTATGGTAAATATAGAGGACGTAAGTGCTCAGTCCCCCAAGTTATCCCTTTCTGCAGTGAAAACTGTAAGAAGCAGGAAATTTGCAAGGCACACAGTGGCGATAATATCGAGGTAGCTCCTGTGCCTCAGCTGGAACATCCTTATTCACAAAAGGAGTGTTCAGAAACATGGTCAAGAGCTAAGGCAATGCTATGACTCTGAACCTGCAAAGTGTTTCACAGCTTTTTACCAATTCAGAGCCCAAAGGTAACATTCCAAGCTAACCCTGTACGTCCAGTCAGGTGCAGGTAAGACACTCAAAATCAGGCTTCAGAAAGGCAGACATGAATAGCTGCTATATAGAGACCAACTCACACATCAGCATAGGGAGGAATCTTAACTAAAGTCGAAGAAGAATCGGACAAAAAAAAAAAAAAAAAATTTGGTTAGACCTGAGCTCAAGAAGATTTCCATTCCACTATGACACTAGCAAAAAAACTAAGGCATGTTGGGTACGGGAGGGGTTATACGGGGGCTGGCTTACAATTTTTCTGTTCGCAGGTAGCAGTATAATCCCAACTGTATCTGCAATTTCTGTGGTCCTCAGTGGATGAAAAAGAAAGCCATGTTTCAGCTTGTATTACAGTAAATTGCACCTAATTAGGCACAATAAACTACTGTTCAAAGGATCCAGGTATGGACAAAACACTTTTTTATAGAAAGATTGAGCCGAAATAAGACTGCCATTGCGGACCTCTTTTTAAAATGAAAGTTGCCATGCTGTCATACAGTGAGTGACTGAGCTGGAGAAAGTTAAAAAAATAAAAAAGGGAAAGTAGTTCAGACTTTCATTTACATCCTGGCTTCAGCACAAAGTAGTAGTAGCTAGTGGTTACCATAAGAGGCATCGTTTTCAGGAAGTGGTCAGTAATGGTAGTCTACCCGCTATTTCTCTAGACAGGTTGGTCGAACAGTTGTTGCAGCCAATCCCCTGCAATCACTGCTTGGGTATGCGTACAGCCACGGGGGTGCCGGGATATTCCAGGACTGCGTGTCACTTCCGGAGACGCGGTCCCAGAACTCTCAAAGTGGCAACTGAGCGCGTATGCGCTCATAGAGGCTTGTAAGTCCGGTAATTTTACTGGACGCTGTGCGACTAATCACACATGAGCGTCAGAGGTTTGCAAGTCCAGTAATTTTACTGGATGCTGTTCAGATGACTGCACAAGCGCAGAAGGGGAGTCCAGGAATTTTACAGGCTATTTTTGCCTGTACTGCACATGTGCTAGCAGGGTCCTGATAATTTAAAGGCAAAATGCCTGTATGTGGATAGTGATATATACAGTATAATATATTATATTAATATTCTATTTTACAAAATCTTTTATCAAATATAAAGAAAAAATATTTACTTGCAATCATATTTTGTTTTATCCTCAGAATTTTATTTATATCGTATTTAATTTTGTATTAGTCTTATTGCCTCCACTTACATGCTAGTGTCCACATGCACAGTAGAGCCAAGTTATTTGTAAAAAAAATCTTTGACCCCGTCACCTGGAGCTCACGCCTGCGCACTCAGCAACTGCTGTGAGATTTCTGAGACCGCGTTGCACGGTCCAGGAATCTTACTGAGTCTGGACAAGTGATAGAACACCAGCTGTCAGAATAGAATAGCCAGCAGGGGAGATCTCTCCATACTGGGGGTATTCACATATTTTTCTCTTGTTCAGGCTGCATCCTGATTGAGGTGGGAAAAAAATAAAAATCATGTGTATGGCCAGCTTTACATCAGTAAAGAAAGTTTTACTGTAAGTTGTGCTGCTGACAATTACACACAAGCTCTTTCAGTCCTGTAACTGAATAGCATTTACCTTTGGATGTGGTGAACCATTTTTGACTATAGGACTTTGATGCAAACTCCAGGCTGAGTAGGGCAAAAAAGAAATATCAAATAAATGTATAATACCTTGCAACATCAATGTAGTGAGCATTAGCCTCATCTTCTAGGCCCATAGCTGCATTTCTTAGGTAAGTCTGCAGTGACTCAACAATGTTCTGTAATGAAGTCCCATCAGTGGTCTGCTCTATAAGACTATCCAACTCTTGAAGCATGTTCTCCAACGTCTGCTCTCCTTTCATCAAGCATCTGAGAGCTTCAGGGAAAATAATCTGACGAAAGTTTGAGTTCAATTCCTTAAATAAGACATAAAATAAAAGTGTTCAAATGGTTTGTGCTCTAGAACAGCTTCTAGTCATTTTGAGGCCGGTAAAACAAGTTATGTTCCCAACCATTTTCAAATGTATTCATTAAAGCAAAATGTACTTAAATCATAAAAATCACTTTCATCTTTAAAAGCAAAACAAAATCAGTTTCCAAGGATTACTGCACTGCTGTACCGCAATGTATAATTTTTGCCATGTTGACTCCGGTTCTGTAGAATATGATTTTGTTAAGCCCAACTAGCATTTTATGATAAAGTGAACTTGTTGAGATACAGCAAATACGGTCCAATGCAGAAAAACCATGTGCTATGTCACATTTATTTTTCTAAAAGCACATTTGCATATGTAGAGATGAAACATTCACACCACGTAGCTGCCATGGCAGAGTGTACATGAAGAAAGGATGGCCCTGTTTTTTTCTGTACTCCATTAATGAAGACAGCAAGTCTAAGCGTTGAGTCATACTGCCACCTACAGAAGTATTGGACACTGGAAAACAAAAATTCTTGGCCAGCTCAGGATAACCATTCCTACTGCCAGCATGGCTCAGTTACTTAGCAAAGAAGTACCATGAGCATGATCAAAAACACAGTAGGGTGGGACCCGTGTCCTTCAAAGGGCATATGTACTGGCATAAGACACATGAAAGTAATCAGATGGGAGCCTTCCAGCAAACCATCACACCTTAAATTTAAGGCTACGGCCATTTCCTACACATGTTCTATACGCAAGGGATCAACCACAGTGGTGCCATCACAAGCCCCCTATGTGATAGCACTTTAAGTGGTGACAGGTCCTCTATAAAGGAAAGATTAGGGGGTCTATTAGACCCCTAATGTCTCCTTTGCACTCCAGTGAAGCTGATCACACTCCGCTCAGAAACAGGAAGTGACTAAATTTGTCAAAAGCTGTGCTTTTTACACTTGGGTTCTGGAGTTCAGCACTTTAGCCAATGTGCCCTATGCATATTTACTGACACGCAACACTTGCAGGAAATCAGATGGGAGCCTTCCAGCAAACAATCACACCTGAAATATAAATGGTACAGCCATCTGCTCCACATGCTCCAGGTGCAAGGGATCCACCGCAGCAGTAGTGAGATCTCTTAAGGGATTTTCTTACCAGTGAGCCAAGGCTTGACAAAGTAAGGCCACCACCAAAATCAGATAAAGGGCAGGACAGATTTCAGGTCCTCTTTAAAAGACATGATACAGACACCGATGTGGGTCTCTTTTACATACCCTGCTGGAGATATATTAGGTTACATTAACCCTTTCGATGCCATGGACGTAAAAGGTTACTGCAGAGCAGAACTACTTGCAGCTAGTAAACTCATGTCCACTGCATGTTTGGATCCTGCAAGTGCATGGTCATTTCAGTGACCATGAACGTACACTCAAACTGTACCTGACAATTTTTCTTTAACTGAATGAATGTGGACAACTAAAACTGCGTCTCCCCGGCATGGCTTTGTGAATGAGATCACATCCTGAAGTCTACACTGTTCCTCGGTTTTCGGTCCAGTGTGCCCCATCCATTGCCCCTTTGTCTACTCCCACCATTACAGTGACTGTCCTAATTACTGGCTTCTTCAGTTGTTGTCCTGCTGCTCTGGCTTCAACTTGCGGATCGCTTCAGCAATCTGGGTGCTTACATTCTTGCAAGAGGTGCACAGATCTGTGAATGTGATCCATCAGCAAATGGCTACTGATCATATTTACAACAATTCTGCAGTGATGGCAAGCTCCTCTGTGCTCTCTTCTTTTTAGGCATAAGCTGCACTTACTAATCGTGCCCCCCCCCTCTTCTCTTTTCTGCTGCTGTTTTACAGTAATACTCTACACTGCTCTGATCTCTGTCACCTCTCCCCCAGCCTGCTCCAATCCGTGTCACCTCTCCCACAGGCTGCTCCAATCAGTGTCACCTCTCTCCCAGCCGGCCCACATCCCTGTCACCTCATCCCCAGCCTGCACTGATCCATGTCATCTTTTATGGAGAATACAGCTTTGATAAAACACTTGTGCAACTATCATGGGCTGTGCAAAATCAATAACGCCATCTTTTTTTCCACAGATCCTGTGCTTTCAGAAAATGTATTGATACGGGAAGGGCCGTATTTTACTAACTTTCAAAGCTGTAAAACTGAAAATTACAAAAAAAATAAAGTGAATAGCAGAAATTGTCCCACCACCCAAGGTTTTTGCAGCAAAAGGCTTAAATTAGTAAGAAATGTGCAGGCTGCAATTGCTGACTCTCTCTGAAAAGGTTTCAACACATCTGTGTCAGACCTAGAGCAAGCACAAAGCAAATGAAAAGCAGAAGCCTCTATCTGTATTCTTGTTTCAGGTCTGTGGCAAAGCATCAGCTTTGACAGCCAAGCAGCTAGTATTTTCAGGAGAGGACAGCAATAGCAGTCTCTATAATGTATTATAGAGGAGCCAGCACAGGTGCTCCTTAGTGAGCCGTATCTAAAATTTTAGAAGATAGTACAGCTACACAAGAGTAGGCTTTTAGGGCCTATTTATAACAGCAGTAGTTGTCCAATCCCCTGTAGGCAGAAGTATAACCCAAATGTCTTTCTATGCCCCTCAATTAATGAGAAAAAAAATTGCATTTTTAATTTAGCAGGCCATAAAAAATAACCAGAATCAGTAGATTCCAGTATTTAAAAGAGAATACAGTAAATCTCATCATAAACAAAATAGAATACAATACATTTTCAAATGAAACTTGGCAAGACTAAATTACCTGCAAAGAAATGTACACTGCATTAGCCAGATGTACAGCTTCAGAAGCCTCCAGTGGATTGGGTATATCCAGGTCTTGAGGGATAAACTTGCATTGTTTTAATAACTGAACAAGACATGTGACATTGCCACTCATACTGCAGAGCTCTTCCAAGAACCAAGCTCCATCCCGAGATGTAAGATCCACCAGCTGTTCTCCAGCACTGGAAGCAGCTCCTTCCATCATTAGGTTACGTCTGTGAAGTACACAAGGACATAAGCAGACTGCAATGGTGTGTATAAATAGATTTTTGCTGGTCTTTAGGTAATGGTAAGGGGAATAAAATTCCTACTATGGCAGAAACACACTGGCATTTTTTAGTAGCTCGATACAGGTACTTAACTCACTAGCGATTGATCACTACATAAATGGTTTATAGGATATAAGCTACACAAATAACATGTAGAAGCAGATAACCAAAACCTTTAGACCATTTAGCGATTATGCATAATTGCTAGTATGTGCCAATTGTGTGGCTTACAGCATTGGGGATATTCTTTTCCATCTGTGTAGCGACTGACAGCTACTTTAATCTCTAGCAATTTTAGCAGCGTTATGGAGCTTATAAAATCACCTGTGTATTCCTAACTTTGGTAAATAAATCAAAGAAAGAAACTTTAAAATTGTTTCATGTTCCCTTTAGCGACCCCTGAGCAATGAGATATTCAACCTGAAGACAACAAGTGTGATTGCTAGAGGTTACAATCTTAGGCCCCCATTCACACTAAGCGACATACTTTTTGAAGCGGATCCGCGCGGCCGGGATAGCGCGACTTTAGGGGCGATGATCCAGCGACGGTAGCGCAAACTTCACCGTCAGGCTCCATTCAAAAATAGTAAAAAATTGCACAAAATCCGCCGAAAAAAGGGTCCTGCGACAGCAACATGGAGCCAAGACAGCTCCATTGAATAGCATTGGCCGGCGACTTCTCGCAATATCGCGCGCTAAATCGCTTAGTGGGAATGGGGCCTTATATGTATACAAGAAGCATTATCGCAGCAGACGTAAATATGTCTAAAATCCATCTGAGCTTCTGTGCTGTCTATGTCAATCCATGTACTACACCACCACAATGTAAGAAAACAGTGGTTTGTTTTAACCACCTTTGTGCGGCTGCGGCTTTATAATCTCAATAGCCAAAACAGGCATTTTTATCAACCTAATTCTAGGTGTTCTGCAGGAGTGTAGGGTAGACAAAAATTTCAACAAAAAGTAGCATTAGAAGTAATTACACATAGCACAATAAAAAAGAAAACTAAAAAAAAAAAAAAACACGTTAGTAAGCTCTTAAACATACATATTCAAATTTACATCTGCATTTTTTTTCTATATTACCTTGTAAGAGTGCAAAGGGCAGAAACGACCACACTAGCCAGACTCAGCGAACCCTCCTCACCATTTTCGTGCAGGAAAACTTTAATACAGCGCTCAATTTCTTTCAGCTGCTCTTCACAAACTGGAACAGTTGCCACCTCCTGCTTCAGCCGTTCTACTTGCCTCAAAAGCCTGTTATTTGTATCAGCATAAAAGCGCTGCAGAGCCAATTCAGTGGCAGAAAGGAACTGACAGACAGCTTGCGGAGGTTGAGGGGCATACTGAATTTCATACCTGTAACAAATAATGATGTGATCAAGACCTGGCCATTATACTTTTTGTTATAGCGAACATCTAAGGGCTTATGTACAAATCCAGAATACATTAGGAAGGTTATTCACAAAAGAGTGAAGAGTTTGGAGAAGGCAGGAGAAAGGAACAATCTAGGACAGCATAGCTGAACTGGAAAGTGAGCGGAATCGGAAAATGTTTCTAAATCAGCTATTTTGGCCTAGATTGTTCACTTCTCCTGCCTTCTCCAAACTCTTCACCCTTTTGTGAATAACCTTGTCAGTTTCAATTGGAGATTAGTTTGAGTGTCTTTTAAAAAGTTCCTTTTGACCTACTTCAAGCTACTTTTACATTTACTTAGGGAGAAAATAAGTTCCATAAACAACTGTCCAATTCTAATTAAGAATGGTTATTGTCTACAGCAGAGTTCAACTGTGCTGTTACTAGAGGAGTTTAAAAGGGAATGCGTGTAATATGGCCCTATTTTCTTGAACTGAGGTGCAAATACATAAATTGGCTCTCATCTACACAGAAGCTCTCTAACCCACAGGTTGAAAAATGTAAGAATTTGGGGTTATGTTAACACATCATAAAATATCAAAAGATGTAGGTGGGAGTTGCTGGATCAGAAACATATTTTTTTTCTCAAAGTGACGATGAGTCCATGGTGTGGAGCACAATGAGAATTAAATACTGGTAAAAAAACAAAACAAACTGTAGGCCAGCTGGCCATTCCAGGATAACACCTCCTACTAAAAAGCGTGCCTTGGTTTTGTAGCAAAAGCATAATTGGAAACACAGAATGGTGAAACCCTGTGCTCAACGGACTCAAATAATAGGGTTTTATGGCGAGTAAATAAATTCCACTTTTGTATTTGTAGGGCACGGGAAGTAATTTTCTCGTTTGGGATGTAACCAGTCCAACTGAGGGGTAGATGACAAAACAAGCAATAACAGACCCAAGAAAAACAGAACTGGGGACTGACTGCAGCGTAGAGCCGCCTCGAGCACCTTAAAGTCCTTTTCCATTTTTAAAGACAGATTGGGATATCACTCACTTTATAATTGTTACATGTTCTCATTCACATTGCATTTATCAAAATTCTTACATTACAATACTTAGTATTTATAAGCAACAATAAAGCTGATAAAATCTACCTAGATGAACTCTTAGCATCCGAACCACATCCAGACAGACAATGGAAGGAAATTTCCTTTTGGTGAACTGGAAGTTCTGAGTATGCCTTCCATGTCAGATAACCTGTGAGAAGTAGACTTTCTAGCTTTTAACATTGTGGAAATAATGGATTCAGAGATGCCCCATTCCCTCAGAACCTGGGCTTCAACAGCCATGCCACTAAAGCCCGCAATCATGAAGCAGGATGATAAATTGGTCCTTGAGACAGAAGATCCGGATAATCTTGTAGAGCAGGGGTGGGGAACCTCTGGCCCTGCAGCTGTGGTGAAACTACAAATCCCATGATGCATCTGTCCCTGGGAGTCATGCCTGTGGGTGTGAAAATCTTGCAATGACTCATGGTATTTGTAGTTTCACCACAGCTGCAGGGCAGAGGCCATGAAGCATCCGCCAGGAGTTTACCAGGTCAGAGAACAACATCATCCCATCATCTGGGCCAATCTAGAGTAATGAATATCACTGGAATGCCTGCAACCCGATCCTGCGACAGAGACATTTCAGGGGAAGAAAGGAGTAAAACTCATGCTTTTAATCATCCCTGCAACTACTCTAAACGCCAAACTTCCAGTGCTGCAAATCACAGATCTGTGTCTTATACAGTTAGGAAGAGTGTTGCTCGCTAAACCTCTTCCTCCATTCATAAAACATCCCTTTTGTGACTGAATAAGGGGAGAAGAGAGGGAGATAAGCGTCAGGACCTACCCTTACCCAATCACAGAATGTCAGGTATTCTGTGAAAAGAATACAAATCATTTTATTAATGGAAGGGGAAAAGCAAACAATGCTCTTCTTCACTGCTCGTGCCAAAAGTTCAGCACTTATGATTTTACTGAATGCTACAGCCACACGTGACACCTATCATAAGAGGTACTTTATTTTTACAGAGCCAATGTTCAGATTGTGGGAGGTAGGGGGAAGAGGGTGACAGTGGGGGGAAAGGGAAACAAGCAGGCTGCTACAAGTGATCCGGCAGCTTTCACTTGTACAAGACGCGTTGCAGCTTCTCCTGCTCTACACTTAGCCCTGCTTGCCTGCAGCAGGGCTAATTGTAGGAAAAAAGCCAGACAAACCAGCCTGGCACCCCAAAATGCATGTCCCGGATGGTTGGGCGATAGGAATTCCACACCCCTGTAGCATAGGGTCAGTCCATAGAGTTTTCCAAGCAGATACAATCTCTGGACTGGAGGGATTTTCTTTTACAGGATCCAGTGATAACGCAAAACAAGCAACTGGAGGACACTGTGCAGACAGTCAAAGCAGCTACAGCAGTGTAACAATGGTCTAAGTCAATGATGCATGTGGTAATGCTAACGTCTGTCTATGAGGATTAGATAAACTCCCTATGCAGAGGGCAGGCCCTTGCATTGCAAGGGTTCAATGCTCATTTAGGTCTAGGGTATAGGTAAAAGCAGTTTTACTTGACTGATCCTTGCTCCACCAGCAATTGGTGATCGCCTCATCTTCCCTACATTCCTCACATATAATGAAGGCCTATGGGCCATGCATTGTGCTTGAAGTCAGTGGGCCTCAACCGGCAGAGTGCAGGGGTAAAGAGGCTTAAGGTGCCGGTCTTGGAGCCTATGAGTGTGGGGATCAAATACAAATCCTTTTCTCAAGTACCCTAGACCTAAACGAGCTTTTAATCCTTGCAGTGTGGGGGGCAGCGCCACTGCAAAAAAAGGGGGGGGGGGGTTCCTTCTGGAATTCAGCCTAAATTATACAAATTGAATTCAGACAGTGTATGGGTTATAATGATTAAGTCACTCAGACTTTCCTAGAAGCAGTGAAATGTTTAAACATGCACTTACTTAGTATATATTTCCTGACAGTGCTCCATGGTCATGCTGCAGATAAGTTCCTCCATCCACGTCTTCCACTGCTCCATTCTGTGTTTTTGGAACACTGATTTGGGGTACAAAAGAGCTACAGTTGCATAGTTGTGAAGATTCTCCAAGCAGCCCCGAAGCACAGAGCGTCTCTGTTGAAGCAAAGTTCCCATCTCTGCTTCGTATTGCTCACATTGTGTGATGAGATGGGCCTGGCCAGCATTCTGTAGGAAAGCAGTGGCAGGTACATAGCTGGGAGGACCTGTTGATCAACAAATATGACAAACATGTGCCAATATAGCATTTCATGTAAAACAAGTTGAACTAAACTAAGCCCTATGTGCAGATGAACATTTTTAGAACCATTAAAAAAAAAAAGCAAGCCAACATGATATATTCTACAGATTGTGAAAACTGTAGTGTTGCTTTAAAACATAGTGGTTTTAAATCCTTTTTATTTTAGGTTTAATCCTTATGTTTTAATGTATGTATGTATAGGTGGCTGAGCTATCCTACCTGCACCGCCCACTTGGCCTCCTGTGACAACGAATCAGGATGATGAGCGGAGTTAAAGCACTCAACGATCAGCTGATCATTGCGTTTGTAAGTAACTGAGGACATAGCGGGGGGAATCAAAACTGGAGCAGACAGAATCTGAAACAGTTGCCCATGGCATTCTATCAGCATCTCTCTTCAGTTTGCTCAGGTAAGATTTGAAAATTAGACAGAGAAGCTGATTGGTTGCAGAGCAAGTCTGCTCCAGTTTTCAGGAATTCCCCTCAATATGTTTACTTTGTCTCCAATTACAAATTAGTAGGAAGTGCTCTACATCCCTTCTTGTTCATTCATGATTGTGGCCCTCGTAACTCATACTATATCCTCAATTTATGAATGGACAGGAGTATAGAGGCTTCCTGTTCATTCAAAACTCTGTCTATAATCTCTGTGTCTGTGTATCTCTTTTTCTGTTTCAGAAGTGTAAAAACGGTCTGTTCTACATCACTTCCTGTTCATTGATGATTGTGGACATGGTATCTGATACTAAAGCCATAGTTTATGAATGGACAGGAGCACTCCGTATAGAGGCTTCCCGTTCATTCATAACAGGGGCTGCAGAAAAAGGAAATATCAGGGGTCTATTTAGACCCCTGATATTTTACTGAAGCCCCCAATAGTCAAGTAAGAAAAAAAATATTAAAAATATAATAAAAAAAAAAGGGTTAGAAAAAGAAATACAGTAATACCTTGGTTTACGAGCATAATTCGTTCCGGAAGCATGCTTGTAATCCAAAGCGCTTGTATATCAAAGCGAATTTCCCCATAGGAAATAATGGAAATTCAGATGATTCGTTCCACAACCCAAAAATATTCATATAAAATGATTACAATACTGTACTGTAATATAATACTGTACAAAATATAAAGAAAAATAAACCAATTACAGATACCTTTGTGGCCGGTGTGAGAGGGACAAGAGAGAGGAGGATTATTGTGCAGGACGACTTTCACTAACACTAACCGAATCACTGCTATTTCTTGGCTCAATGGAATCTTTTTCATTTCGTGAAACCTTAACAAGGAATCTATCCAATGTGACATTGTGACGTCGTTAAACAGACTCATCGCTCGCACTGCTACAGCCTTATTCGGGTGGCGCTTTTCTACAGAATTTTGCTCTTATTGCAAGACATTGCTTGTATATCAAGGCAACATTTTTCAGAAATGTTTGCTTGTCTTGCAAAACACTCTCAAACCAAGTTACTTGTAAACCAAGGTATTACTGTATATAAGTTTTGGTCTGACAAATTTTTTATTTTCAGTTTTGGTCTGAAAATTCAATTTTGATGCACCTCTACTAATTTGTATTGAAATTATAGTCCATCACAGGAGCGAGCCTTGAGCAGCTACTTTACAACACACAGGGACCATGGGGGAACAAAAGTAGACACCCTCCAGAAAGGACAGTGTCAGCACAAATTCAAAGATGATTTAAGGAACTACAGCCATTTAATTCACAAATGAGCTACATTTTTTTTAATAGTTAGGGTTCTTGAATGCATTTTTAAGATTTAAATCCTTAGTTTAGTGTCTCCAAGCTGTGTGAGCAACATACTCCTCTAACCATTTCAGTGCCAAAGTACATACATAAATGTCTGGCACTGAAGTGGATAATGTCAAGATAATGTGAGCTGCAGCAGCCCTGATTCCGGTACCAATTTTTGCAGCTGGCACCCAACATTCAAATACAAGTGATAAGGCAGCTGTAGAGCACAGCGGGTGTCTGCAGGTGGACTGGAGGGAGATCAGCACAGATATGTGGTCTGATCCCCCCTCAGGTAACTGAACCCTCTAAGGGACACAGGAAGAAGTCTGTCGGATTATACCACATACAGGAAGATTGGACACTGGCAAAAAAACCCCCCAAAAAACTGTAAGCCAACCCAGGATAACCCCCTCTATTCCTAGCATGCCGCCGCTTGTCACAAGCAGCACAAAGAGCATTATCAAACACAAACAGGGATTAAGGAATTGATCTACTGTGGGGGCATTCAAAAGCAGCCCAACTGAGGGGTGGGCAAACAACAAACAACCGCTAGCAGGCCCGACCAAATCCAGAACTGGGGACAGCCTGCAGCACCAATGCTTAAATCTGACACCAGATGAGGCAGACCCCTCTTCCTGATGAGCAAAGAATCATCTTGATGCCCAAGACCAAGAAAAAGTTGTTACCCACCAGAGACGAATGAGTCAACATGAAGTGAGCACCGAATCACTGATCAAAGCAAGAAGCTGGTCAACCTTAACTCACCAAAAGTTGTGGAACAACAAATTATCGATAGGGAAGAAAAAACCCCACAACCTGAATTAGTATACAAGGAAAGGGATACCAGACAAGGAACTTAAGCCTAATATCCTTGTAAAAGGTAGACCAGTAAGTCTAAGTTGGAAGGCCATACTTACGTGCCCCAATAAGGGTCAGAAGACAAGGAATTCTGTGACTAGTGAGACTGTCAGAAAAAGACACCTCGCTAACGTGAATTTTACCAGGGAAGAACCCTAAAAATAACAAATCAATAACCTGAGGGGTGTGAAAGTGGAAAGTCCAGCAAGAGAACCCAAGATTTGTTCTAACAAAGTCAGCATGACAAAATGAGTAAGCTGCATGGGAAGCACCCCAAACAGGGTAGGCAGAAGGAAGTTGTAAAACCTAATCATAAACCGAGGAGACGGATCACAACTCTGATGGAGCTGAGGATCAAATTACATACACTCTCACCACTACGCAAAAGAAACCTCTGGGGTTAACCCTAAAATGGATCCTGCAGAAAAACAAACCCTGGCTATTCTTGGCCTCAAAGAGTCATAGGGCTAAGGACACAAGTCTTATTAGAACAGCAAAGAATATTCAACTGAGTGAATCCAAAACACACCAGAAGGTCCTTCTTCACGAGTGTGCACATCAGCCAGGGAAGAGGCACCTAGCCACAGTGCACTCTGCACATTTGTATATAGACAACCAACCTGTACAGGACACAAGTTAAGAGGTTTCCAGCAAGCCATCACAACTGAAGGGTAGGGCTCCAGACATCAGCTCCACAAGCTCTATCAGGAAGGGGTCCACTGCAGTGGTGGAAAGATCTGTTTAGAGAGATTGAATCTATTCTACCACAGTTTGACAGACGAGGGTCACAGCTAGAACAGGGCGAAGAGCAGAGTCCACCCGAGAAAACTGGGTGTTAAAGAGGGAGAGGCTTTTGGTAAGTAGGATCCTTAAAAGGTAAGAATGACCTCTATTGGCCTAGCGGTTTCCCTGTTAAGGTTGCAGATCTATGGTGGGTAAAGACCAGGGGGGCTGTGGGGTCCCTGAATCTGAGTGAGAGATGGGCACTAGGCCTGGTGTCGTGGCCTCTTCTAAGGCTGCTAAAAGATCAGAAATTGAACGTGGGAGCATGCATTGAGCCTCTCTGGTCATCATATATGAAGAATTAGGTAAATTTGGACAAAAAGTATTCTTTGACTGCAGTAGAAAAAAAGGTTAGACTTTCCAGCAGAGCTGAAGAAAAAAAATGTCCACCCTCCTAGAACAAAAACCAAAAAAACAGAGATGAAGGGAATAGGAAAGATTATCCTGGGCTGCCCTACAGATCTTTTGTTTGCCACTGTGCCATCCTGCTGCAGGGAGCAGTAAAATCCAAGAATACATCCCTTTCCGTGTCCCTCAATGGATGAGAGAGAGAGATGTATTGATGTAAATAACTGGAAAAACACTGTCTTGCTAGTAAAGGATTTTAATTAGAAAGCAGATTAGGAGTTTTCATACAAGCAAAAGGTTTTACATACCTAAATCCATCTGGCTGCTTATTTCTTGAAGCAGTCCTGCCAGTTTAGTGGCCTCCAGATTGCTGAAGGCAGTTTGATATTGTGTGATCCACTGCTCAAATTCATTCAGTTTCACCTGGATAGCTTCCTGGACGGCCCTCTGCTGTGTCTGAAGCTGGGTGTGTTCAGAATACCTAAATTTAAAAAAAAATTGTAAATTAATATTGAATGAGATAACAAGGTTAAGTACCAGGTTATAAACACAACATTTACTTATATTTAAGATTACAATGGGCAAATAAAGCCACTGCATAACAAGCTATCCATTTTTAAAGTGAAAACAAAGTCTTCAACTCCCACCCCACCAAATCCAGATTGATTTGGCAGGGGTCTTAGAACCCAATGTTGACAAGTTGCATCAACAGAGTTGTATCAAATAGCCACTGCTTGGCCTTCACCGGCCACCATTTAAACTCACTGTCGTTCAATGGGTTTCTAAGGCTAGACTGGGCCTAAATTAGAAAACATTGTTTAAAAAGCTGGACTGCTCCAGCAAGAATTCTATAGAACAATGACAAATGTTCAGTAACCTCAATTATACTAGAAGGCACTGGTGACATCTCAAAAAGTTGTGACTTTTAGCAAGTTGCCCTCCCTGACCAGAAGCAATGACGTAAAAGTGGAGTTTTTCTACATATCTCTTGAAAATTGAAGACCTCTTAAATATGTAAGGGTTTAAATTACATTACTAAGCAGTAATAGTTGAAAGGGCTAGTATTTAAAGTAGAGTTGTTGTACTCTTAAAAACCTGAGTGCATTGAGGGACACAGGAAGTCTCTAACAGACTCTTCGCAAAACAGTGAGCTGTGCGAAGAGTCAGGGGTGAGACTGAAGCAAGTGGTCTGCCTTGAAGAGGGTTACTCACAACTCACTGGCAACAGCTGAGCAAGGGGGCAACGCTCTGACAGAAGGGCAAGGATATGGGGATGGAGAGACTGGAGAAGAATTCTGGTCGGAGTTGCCAGCTGGCGATGAGACTACTCTAGCACCCATTTGGGAGATTTCATTGAGACATCTAAGAAAAAGAGAGCCATTATTCGACAACCCTGTTTTCTCAACAAGGGTCACCTAAATATCCCACAATAAAGATGCCATGAAAACACACTAGGGCCGATACTGGAGCCAGCACCTTGGTCAACAATCAAGGTACAGGACCAAGACTGAAAAGTCAAAGGGCTGGAAGGACAGAGGGCTTGCAGGTATGCATCCTGACTACAGAAATCAAAAAGCCCCTCTTGGGAAGGGAATGAATACCAGATCCGGGGGATACCATGCCATGCAACATTTTTGCACCAAAGGAGGCAGATGTTCTCTTTGGGGGCATAGCATATTTGGATCTTTCCAATTCCCATAGAGGACAACCTTGAAGAGGCACTGCAACGCAGCAAAAAATGACACGAAATCACGAAAGTCACGAAAATGACTTTCCACCTTTTATAATTAAATAATAATTGTATTGTAAGCACATGGCACTTGAATAGCTTCAGCCAGGGAATGACAGCCAGGGAAGATTCCAAAGACAGCAGCTGAATGTAAATACAGCAGGTAGTGGCCTGGTGCAATGGCCAGCCTGCTATTATCCATTTCAAATTGCAATAGCCAAGAGCTGTGCCTCGCAGTGTGGAGGACTGCTGAGAGGGTTTTATCTGTCTGTAACCCTACTGGAGAGACTTTCCTCACTTATGGTGATGAGCATACATGAAATGGGGTTGGCTGTGACCGGGGGAGGAAGAAACTGACAAAAAGAAAAAACCCAAAACACTCAAGACTTTCTAAACCCATCCTTGTTGTACGTATGTATTTTGTCCGTTTCCCCACTGGAGGATTTTTCCATCACTATGTTCTGACAGAAAGCAAGAGGAAATTACCCCATTAAGATGACACACGGTAATACCATAACAGAGGCTGTAACCCTTCAAATGTCCTATGTACATAATCACAAACCTGTGCTGCAGTGTATGAGCAAGATGATCTGGGGCTTCAGCTCCTTCCAGGAAGGCCATCTCCTCCACAAGTCGCGTTTGCAGCTTTTCCACCTCTGTCAACTCTTCATGCAAGTTTACATATTCATCCAAGCTACTGTCTAGTTTGGGCAGGACACTTAGCATCTCATCCCGATTCTTAAACCAATTCACCTGTTAATTGAAAATGTTTTGCTCCATTAGTAAGATAAATCTTTGACAACCAGAGAGGTCTTACAGTAGGCACATAAACTTAAAAGTGAAGTTTTAGGAAAAATATCACTGCCATAAAGCAAATAAGACCTAAACAGGCCTGCGTTTTACTTTCACTGCATCTTTGGTTTCCAACAAACAGTTTTTAATCTTTTAAAAGGAGTGTATGGGTAAATCAAGGCAGAACTTGGCTTTCATTCTAAACCTAAACTGATCAGTGAGTTTAGATGCACAACAGTCAACAAAATATTTTATCCAACAAAGATAGGGATATGTCTAATCATATAAAAATAAAACATTGATCAGTTAAATCCACTAGTCAAAAGAATATAATTTAAAAATGTTACCTTTATTTCAGCCACTCTGGAGGAAAAGAGGCTTTGTGTGATCTCTCTTTCCATCTCCCGTTTGCTTTGCTTATTTTCAGCCTGTTGTCCTCCTCCACCATAGACTGCACCTGCAAATCCTGCCTCTCCCCCTGCGGTCCAGTCCACAAGAGGATCATAAACAAAAGCCTCAAGCAATGTCAGCAAAGTCTCTCTTCCTCTTCTCATGATATGGAGGACCTGAAGTCAAAACACAAAAGCTTATGATAATAGAGCTAGGCAACAGTTTAGCTATTCAAATCAAATTACCTAGAAAAAAAAAAAAAAAGATATCAACTGTACTTGTGTTGCCCTGTACAGAGCATTAGTGAGACCTCGTCTGAATATGCAGTTAGTTTTGGGCACCAGTTCACAAAAGGGATGTTGTGAAACTGGAGAAAGTGCAGCGAAGGGCTACTAAACTGATGAGGCATGGCGGAGCTCAGCTATGAGGAAAGATATATTTACCTTAATTTGTTCTCTATGGAGAAGAGACGATTAAGGGAGGACATGATCACCATGTATAAATACATAAATGGTACATAAATTATTCACTTCAAAAAAGGTCACTGCAAAGGACGAGGGGGAACTTTGTATCTGGAGGAAAAGAAGTTTAACCTTTGCATATTGAAAAGATTCTTCATAGTTAGAGCTGTGAAAATGTGGAATAGACTCCCCCAGGAGCTAGTTCTAGCTAGCTCAATTAACGGTTTTAAAAAACAATCTGGATGTATTCCTAAATGCACAGAATATTACTGGATATCGAGTCCTTATAAGTATATTAAGCACCAGAGATTGTTGAGCCAGGCAATAACTGATTGCCTTATGGGGTGAGGAAGGAATTTTTTTCCCCTGGGTGGAGCAAATTGAACCATGCTTTATAGGGGGTTTTTTTTGCTTTCTTGGGTGCCTGGGTAAATCTGGGCAAAGCGTTCTGTTTTAGGTTTTTCTCTCTTCTTTTTCCCAATAGGCCAGAACGTACCCTGGGCCAAGTCTGGAGGTAAGTTAAGACACCACTGAGCTTTTCAAAAAAATGTCCTTTATTGTCAGATGATCCAAGAAACAACCTCATCCAACAAGATTGTCATCCGATGTGACAATCTTCAAACTTATTGGAAGAAAGGACTTTCCCCATTGTCAACCCAGGGGATGTCAACTTCCATGACGCTCAAAATCTTGTCTAGTGATAGAGGAGACTTGTCCCACGCTTTAAAAAAATTCCTCTGTAAAGTCCTGGAATGGAACTGACCTAAAAAAGGTACCGCTTTTGAAGGTTGACACCATCAATCCCATTATTTCCATGCAAGTTTTCAATGAGGAACAGCGACAGGATCAAAGTGACCAAATTTGATCCCGCAGCTTTAATATTTTGTTCTGAGGGAGGAACATGTTTGCTTGAAGGGTATTTAACAGAAGACCCAAATACTCCAAGCAATCTGACGGAACAAGGAATGACTTCTCCACATTCAGAATCCACACAGAGTACACTAATGTCAACAGCACCGTCTAGACATTAAGATCCAAAGTAGAAAGAGACTGTCTCTTCTAAGTCCTCTAAGAATTCGATTATCGGAATGCCCTTGTGTCGAAAAAAAATCCTAGAACTTAAGAACTTTTGTAAAAACCTCAGAGTTGAAACCAACCCAAAAGGAAGAGCCACAAATTGATAACAAAGGCCACCTACCACAAAACAAAGGAAATGCTGATGAGCTTAGAAAATACAGGAATGTGCAAGATACAAAATGTATATGGAATCAAAAAAATTTCCATGCTAAGAGAGGCAGCAACCAACCAAATGGATTCCATCTGGAGTTTGTGAATATGTACAAACGCTTTGAGTGCTTTCAAATCCAGAATCAGACTAAGTCTTCCATTGGGTTTGGGAACTGTAAACAGGATTAAGTAAAAAACCTTAAAAAAGTTCTGCCAAAGGAAGCTGGAATAATAACATCGGGATACAATAGACCTTGAACTGAAAAAAAAAGTTCACCCAACGCTGCAGAGACATGGGGAGCCGGAGTGCAAAGAAAATAGTCTAACATTTTAGTTTCCCACGTGTCCACAAATTCCATCAGGCCACCAGATATAGAAAAGGCAGGAATATACCTTCATGCTCAAGCAGACATCTAGAGAATGCAAACTTTTGGAAGTGTAAGACAAGTTTTGAAACTGAGAACTAAAGAAACGTATAAAAGATGGAAAAGAGGGTGCAGGCTTATGACACTTATCCTTATTTTTCTAGATCTGAGGTAAGGTGTTCACTTTTACATCCTGTAGCTTTTTTTTTTAAAAATAATCTAATCCAAGGTAGCTTCAAAAAAAAGGACGACCTCTCATGCAGGATAATTGCAAAAATCCCTGTTTGCATTGGGGTTTCTCCGACTAGTACTTAAGCCAGATAGCTGTGCATATCTCAACAGAAAAGAAGCGACAGACACACGAGACAACAGATAACAAGCTTCAAGAAATGCATCACATATGAAATGTGAAACAGTCATCTGATCCACACAATCAATAAAGTGTGAATAAGCTTCAGCAGTCGCCTGTGTTGTACTTTAAGATGTTGTCCAAGTAGTCAAAGTCTGGGAAATAAGTACTGTAGTCAGTAATTGAAGAGCCAAACCAGTTAAATGGATAATTGGCGCAAAAAATAAATCTCCAATTTTTTGTCAGTAGGATCCTTAAACCAAGGACCTTCATGAATAGGAAGAGTCAACAGTCAAACTTGTTAAAAGGAGAACTATGGGGTTAAGTCTTTTCCACCTAGTTCTCCTTAGGGTAACGGGAGGACACAAACTAGCATCCTACCGTCACCCTAGGCTCAGTATACCGCGAGCAGCTGCTCTTTCACACAGCGCCCTGCTGATGAGTCTGTTCTGACAATTCTGCCTCAGACACAACCATACTCACAGCCAGGACCGATGTGAGGAATAAATATGAGGTACTGCAACCACTTGCTGCAGACAAGAGTAATCGAAAAATGTGTAATAGTAAAAACAGGATTTCTGTTCTCCCCAATAAGTGACATAAAATTGAGGGCAAATAAGAAAGGAAGCAGGGTCGAAAACCGCTCCTTCCACCTTCGCACTACACTGCTCTGAGGAAACAAGAAAAAAGGGACTGCATGTGCACAGTAGATAAACAAGTGCGTCATCCAATCGTACTCCCGGCCCCTTAAAGAGACGTCTGGAAATTTAAAAAAATAAATCAAACTCCATATAAATGGCATTTAGCCAAATAGGAGTCTAAAAGCACACAACCCAAATAAATGAAAAGGAGGGAAAACACTCAACCTTATAAACATTAGGTGAATATATTTTTTATAATTACGACTATGACCCTGTTCCCTAAATAACAGGAATGCCCAAGTATTCCCGGCTTGACCGTTAAATGTTGAAAGCAGGAAAATAGGACCACTGCTGGACGAAGTACAAGTACTATGACCAGAAATTACCTGCTTAATGATGCTTAGAGAAATTTCCAGAATTTAACTTATCTGGCACGAATCTCCCAGTTTTATCAGCTAGCTAGAGAGACTTCCAGGATTTAAGAATATCTGATGTGAATCAACTAGCAGCTCATGGTAGTAAGAGTCTTCAAGAAGAAACAAAATAAAAGTAAAATAAACCAGAAGAGAAGGAGATGGCCATTCTCCTAAGTACACGACGGCTTTTAATTGTTTTGCCTAGTGTCCATTTCTCCTGGAGGCAGCAGCATAACCCTACGTCTCAGAATTCTTCAGAGCCGTTTCTCTCAATGGAAGGCAGCAAAATCTTTGTTGAACCTAGAAACTAAAACGCCCTACCACCCAGGACACTAAAACCTCCTGTGCAGTAGGGTACAACCTACAATAGAAGGCATATTCCCTTCTGTTTTTTGTTTACTGGCTATCATTAGTGAAGGCAAATTCTAGTTACCATTTATACCAAATTATGCTTTTTCTTTGTGGACAATAATCACTACAAACTGAGTAACAAAGTGTTTGGGAATATAGTTTTAAAGAATAACAGCTAAGATAAAGAAAACAAAAAATAACTAGTAAGCTTCCAAGTTAGGTTAGATGCACTTAGTCTGTTGCCCATAACCACAGAAGCAAAATATTAACTGCTTTCTATTGCTACTTTAATAGATGACCTCAGTAATCAGGATAGTTAGTGGGAGGAATGGGGAAAAGCCCAACATTTTATAAACAGCCTACATTTGTATGCTACCTCTATCTGGTTTTGACATGTGGCTCTTACTAAAGTTAACCTCTGAAAACGCCATGTTATCCCCATAAGTTTGGCCTCGCCCAGTATATCACAGGCTAAGTTTAATCTTTATTAATGGCTCTTTAAAAGATTACATTTTAAGCAAAGTTTTAATAAATTCACATACCCTATGACATGGGTCACCTGTTAAAATTGTCCTAACCATTGTTCTAACTAAAACCTTTGGAGAATGCTTGGGGGAAAAAAAGCACACACGTGTTGTATGTACCTGCTCACAAGACAGACGGAAAACTCCCTCCACCCCCGTCACGCCCAGTGCACTTTCAATGTTTTGGGTCATTCGGAAGGGAACCTTTTCAGGAACGCGTAGACTTTTCCCTACAGAATAAAAATCAAGAAAACGTGGTTCAGTTTTCTGAAAAAAAAAGTGAGTTATTTAAAACAGTAGAAGTATGAAGATTTACCTTTTTCAAAGCAAACATTGTAGTCAATGTGAACTACTTCCCCACTTGTCATGTCAATCAGAACATTATCCAAATGCCTATCACCAAGACCTATGATATAGCCAACCATTGACATTACAGCTGTTGATCTGGCGTAGGACTGAAAAAGAAAAATATAATTTGTAATGTATTCAAAAACATGTCACACAAGATGGGTTTACGATGCTTGGTGTATCAATCTAATAGTTAAAATTAAAGTCACTTTTGCTATGGTCCCATACCAGGGGGGGGGGGGGGGGGGGGACAAAAATCTAAAAACAAA